AGCAGGGAGCCCGATGCGGGGCTCGATCCCAGGACCCTGGGATCATGACCTGAGCCGAAGGCAGACGCTTAATGACTGAGCCACCCAGGCGCCCCGAGATGTGGCAGTTTTTTCAGTTAGACAAATGTGAAATGCTGAAAGATGTGACCAGTCATGCCTCTGCTTAAATTATATAGTGCTGCAAAACTCAAGATAATGACCTAATGTCTTCAGATAACATAACCCGCCCACAGTTCGGCATACTAAATCATCAAGACTTTGGGGAGCACAATTCCAAAGAAGGGAATAACTTTACCAAGTTATAACATTTCACTAAATCAATACAGTAGTCTTTAATATAATAAAGTCATACTTTTGTTGGAGTCACATACTACTTTCAAGATAATTTTCAGTCCATAAGTATGATGGAAGTACCAAATCAAAACAACGTAGATTCTAATGATGGATTTATAAGATTGCAAAATAGTTCCCAGAAATTCATATGGCTTTTAAAAGACCGTATTTCGCCACTTAAATTTCCTCATGCAAGTCGTTGAAGTTTAACACAGAAGAGCAATTGCGTGTATGTAAAATGTGGTTCTTCTTTATTCTGGGGTTGGTCCAAAACCAGGTAGAGTTTCAATGCACAAAAAGCTTCAAAATTCTATCTTAAGGAGATTCAATAGCCTTTAAAATTTTCTTCCCAATAATATTTTATAGCTCTTTTGCACAGAGGACTTGCACATTCATTCCTAAGAATGTGATACTTTTTCACATTATTATAAATGGTGACTGTAGCAGGCAGAATATTGGTCCACCAGAGATGGCCATATCCTAAATCCCCCCGAAATCTTTGACTATGACATGTTATATGACAAAAGGGACATTAGCTTTGCAGATCAAAATTAAGGCTGCTAATCAGACCTTCTTTTTTTTTATTTAAGATTTTATTTATATGACAGAGAGAGACAGCGAGAACAGGAACACAAGCAGGGGGAGTGGGAGAGGGAGAAGCAGGCTTCCCGCTGAGCGGGGAGAGCCCGATGTGGGACTCGATCCCAGGACCCTGGGATCATGACCTGAGCTGAAGGCAGACACTTAACGACTGAGCCACCGAGGCGCCCCTAATCTGACCTTCTTAAAGCAGAGAGATTATCTAGGTGGGCCCAATCTACTAGCTAAACAGCTAAAGACTGAGGCAGAAGAGTGGATCAAAGGGATGCTACATGAGGATTCGACCTCTTTGCAGACTCTGAGGATGGAGGAAGGGGACCACAAGCCAAGGAATGCAGTAGCCTCTAGAAGTTGCGAATGACCTTGAGTTTACATCCAGCAAGAAAAGAGCTCTGCAACCATGAGGAACTGAATTGTTCCAACAAAGCCAAATGAGCAGGAGGCAGATTCTCCTAGAACCTCCAGAAGAGTGCAGCCCTGAGGCTATCTTGATCTTAGCCTTGGGACCCACACCTCTGAAGACACTATGACATAGAGTTTGACCATTACCCACATGCAGGGTAACCCACAGGGAACCCACAACACGAGTTTTAAACAGGGTGATGTGATGTGACCAATTCTGCAGCTGTGGGAGGAGACTGGAGAAGGGTCAGTAGCAGCAGGAGAGAGATCGGTGTAGTTAGAGGATGATGTCTGAGACCATGACAGAGGCGGCCAGAGCTGGACAGATTGCAGATGATTGACCGGAGGTGGAGTTGATGGGTTTGGTAAGGGACTAGATGTAGAAGGATGGCGGCAGCAACAGTGGATGGTTCCCAGGTTTCTGATTTGAACTCTGAACGTGATACCACTGGCAGAAATGAGAAAGCCTGGGCGGTGACGCACTTTGAGGTGTGTGGGGGTGACTAAAACATTGTTAACAAGTCAAACTTGAGATGTGAGACACCTGAATGGAGATCACAAGTAGGCAGATGCGGTTTTCCTTTTTCAAAATTTTATTTATTAAGTCATCTCTTCCCCCAACATGGGGCTCAAACTCACAACCCCGAGATCAAGAGTGCACGCTCTGCAGACTGCACCAGCCAGGCATCCCCCGGCGATGCATCTTTCAGCCTGGAGTTCAGGGGAGAATCTGACCTGTAACCATGCAACTGGAAGCCGTCAGCATGTCGAGGTTATTCCAAGGCACTGAGGATGTGAAGAGAGGCCCCAACAGTCCCGAGGACCACGGACATTTAGAAGTTGGGTGCAGTGGGAGGAGCACAGAGGAAAGCGCCCATTCCACACTTGTACTAATATGTACATATTACATATATATTTAAAGATGGGTGATTTGGGAGCATGTTTATGGTGATGATGATCCAGAACAGAAGAGACTGACGTTAGGAGAGGGATCAGCAAAAGACCAAAATCTTCGAGACAACGTAAGGGGCAGACTGCGGGGCTCAGGCGCAGGGTGAGGCTTTGGGCAGGAGGAATGAGTGCAGATGGAGGCAGGATCGCCTGGTTGGTGGAGGGAAGAGGGAGTTGACGTCCGCTGCCTTCAACTTGCTCAGTGAATCATGTAAAGGGCAGAAGAAGGGTGTGGGAGGGTTGAAGGCATAATGGCTGATGTGGGGAAAGAACAGCAAATGTATCAGAGAATCAAAGTAGATCCTCTGGTGACGCTATATCTGTTTGAGGCTGACAATCATTAAAGTGAAACCAGCCAGCTCAGTTGTTTTTTTCCCCCCAAAGATTTTATTTACTAGAGAGCAAGTGAGCACAAGCAGGGGGGAGGGGCAGCGGGAGAAGCAGGCTTCCAGCTGAGCAGGGAGCCCAATGCTGGGCCCGATCCCAGGGCCCTGGGATCATGACCTGAGCCAAAGGCAGATGCTTCACCAACTGAGCCACCCAAGCACCCAGCTGCGTGGTTTTCTTCCAGAAATAGTTACCTCTTAGGTGCAGGGAGGAGGCAGATGGAAGGGCTCACCCAGGCTTGGCGTCTTGGACGGGAAAGTGCCACCAAGGGAGAGGACGCAGAGCAGTGGGTGTTCGGAAGAGAGCAACAATAGAAACAGACTCGGTGACAGCTTGGTCAGGCTATGAGCCAACTGGTGGACAGATGCACCGTTTGATGAGGCCGGGGAATTAGGACTGGCGGGTATTTCAGGAGCTGAACTGGAAATGGTGTTCAGCAAGCTCTGGACTGTGTCGCCTGCAAGTCTGCCTGGTTCCCTCTGGCATCTTCAGCTCCTGCTGTGCTTACTCAGTGTGTGTGGTCAACAACTGTGGAACTGAAAGTGGCCTGGAGGAGAATTGAGGTCTTCGTCTGATTATGACGCTCATGTCCCACCTCCCCTCTGCCGCGGTCTTGGACCTCTCTGTTGGGGAATGAGGTCCACAAATGAAGCTCAGCAGCTGAAAAGCGTGCCTACTGAAAAGTGCAAATGACCAGAACTGGGGCGGAAACTCAAACCATGCACGGGCAAGACTGTTCAAAACAATTTTATTTGTTCCTCCGTCTTGTTTCTTGTGAGACAGGTGAGCTCACTCGCTCTCTCTCTCTGGGTCGGCTCTTCCTCCTTCACGTCCTCCCAAGTACAGACTTTCTACACCTTTTCCCCTTTTCAGACTCTAAATTGGGGTTGTCCGCTTGACAGCTCAGCCCTCACCTTCGTGGAGCTGACAAACCCGCCTCTCGAAGGTTGCTTGCCTGTCCTCCTTGCGCCACAGACCAGGGGTCTCCGCACAGCCTGCACAGCCCAGAGCAAACTCACGGTTTCCCCGCACAATCTTCTCTTTTCCTGGACCTGCACTTGACGCACTTGACATATACAGTCTACTACTCTACCCGTCTTTTTCTTCCACAGTCCAGGACTCTTAGATGTAAAAACAGTGTTTGGCAAAGGCTAACATTTCTATGGTGCATTTTTTTTTTTTTTTGAGGGGAGAGGCATGGAGATATCGATGAGAAAAAGTTACAAAAATAGAACTTGTACAAAAAGTACGCAAGTTTATTGGGCAAGATTCACAGCACAGGCAATTACCCACTGTCAGCACACATCTGTGGGTTGCTTCCTCAGAGTGCTCTTCGCCTCCTCTGCTAATGGGACTCTGATTTTTCCACTGGGGTATTTACCTTCCCAGCCACTCCAGGCGTGCTGTGCTAAATCCCAGCTCCAGAGCAGAGCCCAGACTGGCTGAACACAGTCCTCTTTTCCTGGCTCCAGTGATGATTCAGAGCTGGGCACAGGCTCTAATTTGGGCACTGGGAGCAAAACCCAGGACTTAAGCAAGAGCAACTGGAAGAGACCTTTTTTCCTTCCTCTGAAGGGGGAGCAGGTCTGCTGAAGCATGTGACTATGAGAAGGGGCCCCCGTGTGTGTACTGAAGATGAAGTGGACAATGGCGAAGGGGGAGCAGAAAATGCGCCAGAAACCCCATCTTTGGTGACCACAAGTAGCTGAGTCAGTCCTTACTTGGACTTTCAGTCTTGAGAGTTCCCGGATTCCTTAGATCCATGTGGGTCCCATTTTCTGGCACTTGCAAATCCAGAGTTCTACCCTATAAATTCAGAATCCCACTGCCCCGAGAGAAACACTGTCGACATTTTGGGTTTAATTTCTCCCACACGTTTTAATGCATCTACGTATATACCATTTCCTTTATTTTCTTACTTTTACAAAACTGAAAATACTCTTCTGAAATATTTTAGTTGATAATATTGTTTACCTCTTTTTATGTTGACCCAAACTATAATAATCATTTTTAATTATTGGATAATATCCCATTCTAGGAATATACCATAATTTAACAGATTTCCATTAAGGAACATTCACATTTTTGTCTGCTTTTCAAATTATGAATGTGCCATTCTTATACATGAGTTCTTTTATTTCTGAAAAGTGAAACCTCTTTATCTCTGTAAGTGAAATTGCTGGATCATAAAATACATTCTTAAGGCTTTGCTGTATTTCACTGGATTGTCCTCCAAAAGGAACTTTCATTCCCGTCAGCATGGGGACAGGTATGTTCGATGGATAGGAGGTGACGAAAGGTAGAATACTTGCTAAAAAGAAACATCCACTTGTTTGCTGCATATTTACTGAGTGTCTCTTGTGCGTACAACACCGTGACAGGCGCTGGGGATATGCTGGTGACCAGCCTCCTAGACCGGTCTCTGTACTCTTCCTTCTCCAAGTATGGCAGCTTTGGAAAAATGTCTAGCTTTGTGGATGAATTAACCAACAGCGCACACGTCATGATGTGAGATAAATGGCATAAGACAGAACACTCGGGAGACAGTGGAGTCCAGTCTTGGCACAGATGGTGACATGGCTGCATGGGACGTTGCTCACCCACACCTTCCTTCCATGTTCACGTGTGGCCAAGAGCCTGGAACGCTCATGCCCCTTGCAGGGCAGCAGGGGCCACAGTTACCCAGGGCTCGGCAAGTCAGCCTTCCCGTGGGCTCTCAATCCTATATAACAATTTTGTAACCTAAATCCCTATATTAAATCCTTCTCTGTGTGAAACATCTAGAGCGGTTTTGCTTTCCTGATTTGACAGAAGAGTCCAACATGTAAATTATCCTTGAAATTCTGTGAGGTGTGAGCTATGCCTTAGACCCACATGGCATCTTTCCATAAATCTAACAGAGCCAAATTTCTCTGGAAGCAGTGGAAGAGACTGCTGGGTTTTTGTTTTGGATTTTGTTTTTTTTCCCAGTTGGAACACCAGATGAACTCAGTGACTGCCCTTGAGAACGCATCTTGTATGCAAAATACGTACCCTTAAACACCTGACTCCCTCAGGAAGATGAGATCCGCACACGGAGGCAGGTACATGCAAATGGAAGCCAGGCTGAGAGACCAGCAGATCCACAGCCCCCTGCGAATGCTTATCTAGAACTCACATTCCCTGGGCACACAGTGACAACTGGGAAAACAGAAAGCAAACTGGCATGCGTGCCTGACTAGAACTGTCAGGGTTCCCATTTTTGGGGAGTGTGCGTGTGGTGAAATCCACACAATGAAATGTTCATGGGACGGGACTCTCCCCTCTGCTGCCACGAGAGGGACTTGGGATACTGCTGTTCTACAGAAACTGCCAGGTGGGCTTATCTTCAACAGTCCAGCAATAGCAAATCAACTCCGGATGCTCCTTTCTTTGCGCACGCAAACACACTAGAGTCTGAAAGGGTGAATCGCTTTGGGAGGCTCCATAATACAAAGTATCGTAGACGTCCCCTTCCTCTGGCCGTGGCCCCTTCTCTACTAAACATCAGTACTGAAAGCAGCGTCTCTGCCCCATGCACAGAAATACAACCAAACCTGGAGAGGCGGGCAAGACACAGCACTGTCCCCTACCTCTTCTCCCCGTCTTCTCCCTCACTGTCGTCGTCACGATAGAAGATGTCACTGAACCGGAAGGCCTGCCTGGGTGTCGCGGGACTCTGGATTTCGGTGCCCGTTTTCTCCACCTTCTTCTCTAACTTTTCCTTAAGCAGAGGCAGGGTGGTCTCGTAAAGGTAGTCTATAATCTCTAAAGAAAAGAAATGTAATTTTGACATTATTTGTACAAAGCCTCCTTCCCAAGGTCAAAGGGCAGAGGGCACGGATGTGGGTGGCCCACTGCTGCTATTACTGTGTGCAGTGGTCCTGTTCTAACTGGTTTACTTGTATTCACCAGTCCCCTCAGAATCCTAGGAGGAGGGCACTACTGTCAGCCCATTCTTCAAATGAGGAAACCGAGGCCAAGAGGCGTTATAAATCATGGCCAAGGTCGTGGAATTTGTAGGGGCGAACGCAGTCGGGATTCAAACCCAGGCAGTGCTATCTGCTAAGTGTCAGAAGTAGTCATCACACACTCCAGGGCAAAGCATCACCCAAACTCGTGGTTCCCGAATGCTGGTGCTGGGCAGACCGCTTGAGGCTCTCCTTGAGCCTGTTAGAGAAAATCTAGCCTCTGGACGCAGCCTGGAGGTTAGGATTCGGTACGTATGGGACGAGGTCCAGCTATGTATGTGTTCAACAAGTTCCCCAGAGGACTCTGATGATCTGAGTTTGGGAATACCGAAACCACCCACAAATGGCTGCAGAGAAGGAACTGGGCATCTTAGGTTTGTTCTGGAACCGTGTGTGCACACGTGTGCATGTCAGTGTGTGGCGTGTGCGCACATGATGGTGATCCAGGAGCACTCAGTTATTTACCGAGTGCTGGCCACGCACCGAGCACCCTGCTGACCACGGTTCATCTGTCTATTATCTCACTGAGAACTTCGAAAGTCCCGTCAGGTGGGGATGAACAGGTGATGATCTCTCCCATTCTACAACCAAAGAAACCGAGACTCCCAGAGTTAAGTCATGCGTCCGAGGTCACACTCCCAGCACGGGGCACCACCTGCTGTGTTCTCAACTATTTAAATATTAGAAATGCTGACCTGGAAAAGTCTTCTTCTGCCAAAAGGGAACACAGGTAGCTTTCAGCTTATAAAATTTAGTTTGAACATAGGACGGAGGAACATCACTTTAGAAAGGAAAAGATAAAAAAAAGTTAGCATCAGTTTAAAAACTGGTTATTTCACTACTGTGTACGAAGTACGCCGACTCGGGAATCTACAGGTATCAGTAACTTTCTTAATCCTGAACAGGAAACCATGGTGTCCACAAATGTGGGACAAAAATAAGACACACATGAAAAAGCTGTCGTTCATTTGGGTAAAAAGCACACACAAAAGAAAGAAGGTGAAAAGCACAAGACAGATCCTGTTTAAATTACACTACTAACATAAGCTGATGCTTACCTTGTACTTGGCCCTGCCCTAAGGGCTTCCTTTCTAGCCACAAACAATCCACACAGCTGCTCTATGAGGAGCTACTACTCTTGTGCCTCATTCTGGAGATGGGGAAACTGAGGCACAGAGAAATGGCCCAAGATCTTACAGCTAATAAGGGGTAGGGCTGGGACTTCAACTGGGTGGTCTGACCCCAAAACCCACACTCTTCACCACTTCACTTAAGATAAATGCGTATTTGTCACAATCCAAAGGCAGATGTCCCCTGATTTTTTATTTTGCAAAGCTAAAAAAAGCACATGTTTATGATGTTTTGGTGAGTCAAATGTATTTTCAATTTACAGTAAGTAGGACAGACACAACCAAATCTTATTGTTTTTTTAAAGTGAAAATCTCTAACTTTACTTCCTGGCCACTTTTTCTTAGACGATAAAAGCAGGACTTATTTCAATAATTAGTTAACCTAGTAGTTAATTAGTGTGAATACGTTTACTCTTACTGGGTTCTTCCTCACAGCAACCACTAGCTAGGTGCTCTCTGTGTGTCCCTACTGAGCTATGTGTCCTCCACGGCCGATCTCCTTAGTCCTCGTTATAGTCCTATTAAACCATTTTGTGGATGAAGAAACTGAGGCTCAGACACAAGTTAGGGAACAACGTGCCCAAGGACAGCTAAATAATGAGTACCAGGAGTCAACACCAGGTGAGTCTGACCGTAAAGGCCAAGTTCTAAGGCCCCCATGCCTTCCAACTCTTCCTGCAGGGCCGTGAGTTCTGTGGGGCATGCTGCAGACCCAAGCTAGGGTTTGGAGAAGTCACAATAATGGATCTGGACATTTTTTCTTTTCTTTTTTTTTTTTTTAAAGACTTTATTATTTATTTATTTATTTGACACAGAGAGAGAGATAGCAAGAGCAGGAACACGAGCAGGGGGAATGGGAGAGGGAGTGGCAGGCTCCCCGCCAAGCAGGGAGCCCGATGCAGGGCTCGATCCCAGGACCCTGGGATCACGACCTGAGCTGAAGACAGACACTTAATGACTGAGCTACCCAGGCGCCCCTGATTCTGGACATTTTCAAACCAAGTAGGCATGACATCTCATTAGGCGGACACGCTTTCTTGACATCCTGCCCAAATAATTCACAAGGGAGACTTTAAGACTCCGAAGAGACTGAACTTTTAAATATTATTTTTCACTGTTTTAATTATTAAAACTTGACAGTGTGCTATTTCAAACAGTATTTGACTAGATGCCATAATCTCCGTTTTATGAGATTTATTAATCTTAAGTGAAACAATGTGTTCTTAAATATATAATTTTACTTAAAACCATTAAAAGCCCATTTTAATTTAAGAACTTGTGATCTGAAGCAACATCACAAAATATATAAAAATTTACTGGAAAAGTCCAATTTTTCAAAAAGTGCTTTGCTATTACAAAGGGAGGGCTTTGCAGCCATGGGTGCTTCTCAAGATGGGAGTTGGTGGGTCCAGAGCAAGGTCCCCTCTTTCAAAGCACCTGCCACCCTCATCTCTCAGGGACCCATGATTCTGAGCAGTGGGTGCCCCACCTCTCACTCAGGTCACCTGGAAAAGGGAAGGGTTTGGAACCATGAGCATGTCTGGGTCATGACAAACTTCCCATTCTCCAAGTTAACAAAAACCAAACTGATTGTTCTTTGTTCCTTGTCCATGATCCCAAGGTGCAAATAACCACCAGAACCAGTTTAAACCCTTCCTCATGGATCAAGGATGGCGTCACACTTTTGAAAGTCAGCCAGGGGGCAGCCGCCCTGCCCCACTGTCCACCCTTCCAAAACTAAAGGCCAAACAACCCCCGACTCCTGAGAGCCCCCCAATCCCCGCACCCCACACCCCTCAATGATCTGCTCTGCTCACAGGGACCATGCTTGGCAAGCAATAAATTCAGATACTGAGAGTGGTGGCCTCTGTCTTCGGTAGCAGGAAGGGATTCAAAATGCAAGGATGCCGTACAGCAAAGACTCACAGCAAAGGCAAAAGGAGGTAGCTCACAAACATAGGAAAGTTCAACTTCACCCCCCAGATGAGACATGCAAATGAAGCCGCACCGAAAGTACCGGTGGAAGCCTGAAGAGGAACAGGATCTTTACATGGTCTCAAAATATCCCCCAAGGCCCCTTCTTATCCCCAAGAGAGCTGGTACTTTATACTGGGGGGGGGAACGCGGCAGATGCCACCGGAGCCAAGGGATCAAAATCAGAATCACGGGCCTCACGATGTGGCATCACCTGTGCCATCATCCTGCCTAAAGTACAAGACCCCACCACGAGGGGGCACCGGACAAACTCCAACGGAGGGTCACTCTCCAAACAAACGGCCTGCGCTCGCCCACGTTTTCAACGCCATCAAAGACAAAGGCAGAAGAGCTTTACTGATCGGAAGCCAGTGAGGAGACAGGACAGACAGACGGGAGCTGGAGTGGAGCTGGACTGGATGGTAAATCGGGGGGAAATGCTATAAAGGACATTACTGGGATGAGACGCCTGGGTGGCTCAGTTGATTGAGCGTCTGCCTTCGGCTCGGGTCATGATCCCAGGGTCCTGGGATCGAGTCCAGCGTCGGGCTCCCTGCTCAGCAGGGAGCCTGCTTCTCCTTCTCCCGCCCCCCCAGTTGTGCTCT